GTTGTATTGATTTTGTACTAACACTCATATATTCCACATGGGGTACCGTCCAGATATGAATTTTACAAGTTATGAACCCACGCCCAGTTGGAATATGCGTAGTTTTGGTGTGATGGACATTGATGGTCCATCTGGGAGTCATCACCAACATGATAATGTCCATCATGGAATGTCAACACATTACGACTTGTAAGTGAAGTGATATAGCTATATGTAAAGTATTTATCAATTTGAGTAGCTTATTATTTTGTTGTTTGTGCAGTGAAAACGAGCAACTTGATGGTCATGTCCTCACTCAGTTGCCCGTAGAAGATGTATTTACTCGGGATTTGGCAGATGCGTAGAGTCAAGAAGATAATAGTGATTATGAAAACAATGCCAATGAGTCTGGAGATGACACACCCTTCCCTGATGAGGGTGATGATGAGGAGGAAGAGAATGTCGAACCTGATTTGACGAGGGTACACGCTCCACCTCCCGTTAGACCAAGAGTGTATGAGTCCCACATGCTGTTTCATTCAAGGCATATTCCCTACCTTGATCATTTTTCAAGTATGCCGGATGTGGATTCCCTCACAAGGGATTTTGACGAAATTAGGATAATAATGTGGGATGAATCTAGACCAACAATGCTGGCAAAGGGCATGCTTTTTCTTGATAAAATGCGCCTAAGCAGGGTGGTGAAAATGTACAGCGTAAAGAGTGTCGTGAGATGACGGCATGGGAGTCAAGTCCGTATGTATACAAGGTTGTTTTCCGTAGATGGTTTACGGGTTGTCATTGGATGCTGCATGCGACCAAAAAGAAAATAGGGTTGTGGAAAGTGGGTAAATATATTGGCACCCACAATTGTGAAATGGATACATTCAATGGGAATCACTTCAACTTGGATGTTGACTTGATTTCGCTTTAACTGATTCCACACATTGAAGCGCCCATAAGGTAAAAGATCAAAGAGTGTATTACATCCGTCCACCAGGAATATAGGTGTACTATTACCAAAAGAAAGGCATATCTCGGGCGCAAACGTGCATTTGAAATTGTTTATCGTGACCGGGATAAGTCATTTGCATCTCTACCCAGGTACTTGGCCGCATTGCAACACTTTAACCCCGGGACTGTTGTTGAATGGAAGCTTGAGCGGAGTGCAGGAATACTAGAATATATATTCAGATACGTGTTCTGAGCATTTAAACGCAATTGATGGTTTTGTGCATTGTCGTCCAGTAATTTCCATAGATGGTACTCATGTCTATGGAAAGTATGATATTAAGTTGTTGATCTCTATTGAAGTAGATGCCAATGGACAAATATTTTCCCTAGCTTTTGTCATCTGTGCCAATGAAAGCTAAGAGACGTGGACGCTATTTTTGAACCACTTGAAGGAGCACGTTGTCAAACAACGTTCAGATATTTGTCTAATATCTTATCGTCATGGGGATATATTAAGTTATGTAGAGCATTTGCCTGAATGGCAGGAACCGTATGTATACCACTGTTACTGTGTGAGACACCTGAAGGCCAATTTCCAGAAGAAATATCCCAACAAGAACTTGCATGATTTAATGTGGATGGATGCAACTGATCACCAGGAGTGAAAATTCAGGAGGCGCATGGAATTGATCCGACAGGAAGACGAAAGAGCCTATCATTGGTTGATGTGACATGAGCTTCACAAGTGGACATTACATGCGGATGGTGGCAGACGATAAGGAACCCTGACTACAAATGTGTCAGAGTTTTTCAGCGAGTTATTGAAGTCTGCACGTGGATTGCCTGTCACTGCCATGGTGCGGATGTCGCTCAAACAGATAGCGGAGAGGTTTGTTGAAAGGCATAAAGGTGCATCGGAATTGATGGAGAGGGGTGTTGAATTTATGCCAATACCAGTGAAAAGAATTGAGAAATACAGGAGGCGAGCACATTGACATTCATTTTTATAGTATTGCAACGAGCGAAATATTTTTTAAGTTCGCACCGTTATACATCAAAACTGGGGGAATAATATAACCACCATAAATGAATCCAGCAGGTTGTGTTCTTGTAGTAAATGGTCCGTCTACCACATGTCGTGCTCACATACTATGAAATGTTTTCAACATACAGGTTTAGGACCAACCAACTATGTTGATAAGCAATACAGTGTTGCTACATACTTAAACACATATAGTGGGCAGTTGTAGCTAGTGGATGCTGAGCATTATTGGCTGCCAGAACCATTTAAAATGGTGTGTAACAACGACTATTTGCTTAAGCTACAATTGCAAAAACGAACGCGTATACGGAACCAAATGGATGTTGGTGATACCGTTTATGCGCGTAAATGTGGCATATACTCGCAAACAGGACACGTCCGTAGTAAATGTCCTTCAACTAGTTTGGGCGGCGGTGGTAATCCAGCTCCTGGTGGAAGTTCATCTAATGTGCCCAACTATCAAGGATACACGTAGTATTTTGTTTTCGTAATATGGTTGTAATAAGTGTATGTACTTGTTTATGTTGCAAGATGTATCAAATAAAATTATGTTTCCAATGTTATTAAATCTTATTGATATTTAACATTTTTTAGTTGAGTAAATTAATGAATATCTCTCTCCCGTTCATGTAATCAAAAATAGTATTGGATTAAAAATGGAAAATTTTTACGTTGACTTTCGAATTTCACTCCAAAATTATTAGAAAACTACACTAAAAGAGGAGAAAGATATTTGATAAATATGTGAATATATATAGCACGATTAAATACTACGCTATGTGTGTTGTCTTGTCGATTTGAAAAGTTGCCCGCCTGCGAAAAAACTATTTTTTATCCAAAAGAATCTTTAACACGCGAAGCATAGCATAGTTAAATACTACGTTATGTGTGAGCATAGCGCAGTTAAATACTACGTTATGTGTGTTGTCTTGTCGATCTGAAAAGCTATCCGCCTGCGAAAAAGTTGTTTTGTATCCGAAAGAATCTTTAACACGCAAAGCATAGTGCGGTTAAATACTATGTTATGTGTGAGCATAGCGCGGTTAAATACTACGTTATGTGTGTTGTCTTGTCGATCTGAAAAGGTACCCGCCTACGAAAAAGATATTTTGTATCTGAAAGAATCTTTAACACGTGAAGCATAGCGCGGTTAAATACTACGTTATGTGTGAGCACAACGCGGTTAAATACTACATTATGTGTGTTATCTTGCCTATAAATAACTGGCACATTTTATTTATTTTATGCTCTTAACCATAACAAATAGCAAAACTTTCCATAAAAGTAGGGGGTTTTCACTTTAACAAATGTCTGAACACATTTATGTACCAATATACCAATGTGGCAAACGTTGTATGGTGGCGGACAGTTAGGATGATGGTCAAGTTGGGCGCAGATACTGGATGTGTATGAACAGGTTTGGAGGCAACAACGGAAATTATTTCAATTTTGAGGTATGGCTTGATGAACCCTAAAGCAGGAATGCTACAAAGAGTCTTTGCAGTTTTATCATGATTTGACCAAAAGATACGAACGTGATGAGATTACGTATAAATGAGAAATTTCGACATTGAAAGAGAAACTAAAAGAGGCAGAAGAATAAAAAACTAAGCTTGAAGAGAAATTTAAGTGGTTGGAGAAAAGAATACTAGGCGGTCGTGACTAAACAATGACATGTATGTGTTGAGTGTAGTAGTTTATCTTTATGTTTTCCGAGTCATGTGTTTTCATTAGTTGTACTGAATTTAAATTATGTTAAGTTGCTATGTTTGTATTTGTGTTGTATTATTAAAATAAGAATCGGGGAAATAAAAACATAATGCGCATATAATGTAAACATAAAAAATTATTGTTATTATTTACACAAAATAATATTTACATAAAATACAAAAACAATCAATGTGTCCTACAGCTTGTGTGCTTCAATGCAGCCGCTGGCCTGAGGCGCATCCCATCCCGCCCCGCTACGCTATCAGGAGTGGGATAGCCCTACCTCTATGGTAATGCTCTGGCGCCACATAAAACAGGGTCATGTACTAAGCGCTCATCCTCTAGGACTCGCTGCAGTGTCCGGGCAGCCAGCTCTGCAACCTGCCGGCCATAATCGTGCAAAATGGCTGCTCCTTCACCGGTATGTTGTTGCATCTGCAGTCCCAACTGGTAGAATAGATGTAGGCCAATAACCTGCACAACGTGTAAAATATAAATTACAGAACGCTAGGTTACATTTATATAAGTAAGAATACCAAATAACATACCCGTGTCTCGTGCCGCCCGGCGTATGCAACGTATCGACCGCCAGCTCGATAAATGGGATTCTCAATGAAAAGTCGGGTAACGCCGCAGTACCAGGGCATATAATCATGAAAAGTATCTGTCTCGGTGAGGGGGGTGGAATCAGGTCAGCTCGTCGGTCCCAAGTATCGACCTGCGCCTCTAGTCATGCCACATATGCGTCGTCCACCCTGGAACGATCAACCCGCTGGTAATGTGTAGGCTACCATGTGGGCGGTCTCGGTATAACCTACGGACGGCCAAACTGGCGAAGTACCCGATTCGTGGCATGATGCTCCACAATATCGAGGCACATCATCGGGACGGAAGAGCTCCAAATAAGTCGGCTGGCCGAGCAATAATCGGGCAGGCCACCTATCAACTCGTCGTTGTATGGCGTCTAGATGAACTATTAAGTAACAACAGTAAACGTGAGTATACGCAACACATGTGAAGCTATGCCAAGTAAACATAGGTATACATTTACCTGTGCGCCCTCTAGCATATCTAACAAATCCCTACAAAGGGGGAGATTATGCCGAGCCTCGTAGATATGTACGTATCCCCACCGGAGAACCCACCTCCTGGCTAGAGGGAGAAACAGAGGTGGTACATCCGGAGGTAATTGTGGTAGAGGTGGATGCAACTACAGGAACCTCTCCCAAGCCCAAACCTAATACAAAGTTGACGTAAAATTTAAGATATATTTTTACTAGATATGTTATAATGAATAGAGTATTCGAATATGTTATCACCTGTAGCAGCGGCAAAAATCCACATACGTCATGTTGGGTGCCATGCTCGCCTGGCACATCTGCTTGTACAAGTAGGCAAGAACAACAGCACCCCAGTTGTATTGGGGTAAACCATCTAGCCGCTCAAGATGATGAAGAAATATCAAGCTAACTAGGTTCCCCGAAGTGTTCGGGAACAAGACCCCTCTAAACATAAGGAGTAGCAGCAACCTCGTATATCGGTGAATATGCAGATCATCTGTCTCGCCACTGATGTCGGGGTGCAATATCTCCAAATGTTGTCGAATAGAGATCAAACTCAAGCGACTGGCCCCTGCATGTGCTGTCTCATCCTGTGGCCGGAAACCAGTGAGTTGCTGCAGCATGTCCAGGTACTGCCCACGTGTCATCTCTCTCATGCCATGTGGCAGAGCGACGGGGTATCCATCAACAGGCAGCCCATATAAAACCTTCATGTCCTGTAGTGTGATGGTGGCCTCGCCAATGGGCAAGTGGAATGTGTGCGTCTCCGGTCTCCACCGCTTTATCAGGGCCATGACCAAAGACCAATCGAGTTGCAGCTGCCCGATCTCCAAAATCTTGTAGAAGCTCGTTCCCGCAGGCGTCTGGCTACACGGGGATGGAGAACTTTGTCCTTCATAAAATCCCACATGTCGTCCACTCTCCTGGCGCGGAGAGACTGGGCCAGTAACTCTCTCTCTCATATGTGGGCGGACCTATGATCGTCCTATAACGAAAGTAGCTCATCGCAGAAAGGTCTGGGATGCATAGGCGGCACATCCATGTCGTCTATTGTAAATTAAACAACATTAATTACATGTTTGTTTGAAAATTAAATAATTAATTTTTATAATTGTATAATATTTAATTATTAAGTATTCACATATGAGTTCCAGGCTCGATATTTAAGGCCCAATAGCACTAAACTATCCTGAATTCTTGTATATGTTAGTTTTATTATTTTACATGTTAGTTTCATAATTTTATATTTTTTTTTGTAGATTAAATAATTAATTTTTATAATTATACAATATTTAATTGGATAGAGTATTCACATATGGGTTCCAGGCTCGATATTTGAGGCCTAGTAGCACCAAACTATCATGAATTCTTGTATGTGTTAGTTTTATTATTTTACATGTTAGTTTCATAATTTTATATGTTGGTTTTGTAAATTAAATAATTAATTTTTATAATTATATAATATTTAATTGGACAGAGTATTCACATATGGGTTCCAGGCTCGATATTTGAGGCCCAGTAGCACCAAGCTATCCTAAATTTTTGTATGTGTCAGTTTTGTTATTTTACATGTTAGTTTTATAATTTTATATGTTTGTTTTGTAAATTAAATAATTAATTTTTATAATTATATAATATTTAATTGGACAGAGTATTCACATATGGGTTCCAGGCTCGATATTTGAGGCCCAGTAGCACCAAGCTATCCTAAATTTTTGTATGTGTCAGTTTTGTTATTTTACATGTTAGTTTTATAATTTTATATGTTTGTTTTGTAAATTAAATAATTAATTTTTACGATTATACAATATTTAATTGGACAGAGTATTCACATATGGGTTCCAGGCTCGATATTTGAGGTCCAGTAGCACCCAACTATCTTTAATTCTTGTATGTGTTAGTTTTATTATTTTACATTTTAGTTTTATAATTTTATATGTTTGTTAGTAAATTAAATAATTAAGTTTTGTAAATTGGACAGAGTTTGTGTTTGATCTATAAGTATAAGAGATACTTAAACTACAGGGATACTACGCTAAAAGGTTCTATATTTTACTACGCTAAAAGGGCACTATATTATTAGTCTTTAAGCAAATAAATAATCTAAACTAGATAAAAACAACAAACACATTTTTATCACAAAACATTCACGAAAATACATATAAAATAGTAAAAGTAATTTATTAACAAACAATAATGATTTCTCAATTTTTACATATTTTTTAAGAAGACTAATATCTTAGTCCGGATAAAAATAACATATCAGTTTAATCACAAAAAAAACACAAAACAGCATGGAACACATTCAAAACAACTAGTATGCATTATTTATATGAGTTTCGACATAAACTAAATCGGAATACCTCGATTTATGTTTTTCGGAAAGTTGAAGAATTGAAAATTTGAGTCCGAAACAAGCAACCCACAACAATAGAAGGCTTGTCTAGGATGTGGGACCAACACTCTTTACTTTTTGTGGGACAAATGGGGTCCACTCAAGTTTTTTATCGAGTTAATTGGGGGGGGGGGGAGCGCAGAGTTTTTAAAAAAAAATGGGGGAGCTTTTATAAATCGCGCTATATATACCTGTCTTATCAGCTTCCAGGTATAACACATTTTACAAAGGCGTTTTATATATAACGCTCCTTTAAAGAGCATTATACCTTACGTCCAAAACGGACGTTAAAGTATAGTGCCCTTTAAAAGGGCGTTATACATATTTTGGTTACTAAGTTTTTTTTTTCACACATTTCCGTTATTTTAGTCCAAAAAAAATACATTTTGGTTCCAGTTGGACCCGATAGTATAACGAAGGTCAATTTTACACAATAATTAATAGTAGAGGGACATATTAGACCTTTTACTATTTTAAAAATGGATCAAATATGGATAAGATCCATATTACCCACTTAAAAAATAAATAACTAATGGGTTTAACTTTTACATTTGCAAAGACACAAATTAAAAGTTCCTCAAATTTGGGTGACTAAGAATTCTCTCAAAAATGATAATATTCAAAAGGTCACGGTTAATATGAATATTCATATTATCCGACGGCTAACCCATTTTCTATCCGTATTAAATATGGGTTGGGTTGAATATTCTACCAGTTTTTTATTTACCTATTTTCGACCCGCTCATATTTGACCCTACCCGCGTGTTTGCTACCCCAGGATAGACCGAGAGTCCCCTTAACACGAAAGCAAAAATCCAGGAAAAAGGAAAAAAGACTTAATGAATTTCACGAAAATACACACATTCTCGACATACTAGCGAAGTTTGACTAAACACAGAAGTTTAAAAAAGATTGACTTTTAAAATTATGGACTAAAACAAGCCATAAAAAATTATATGACTATAAATTATCTCATTAATGATAAATTAAAAACTTCAAAGTTAAATTATTTCTAAATATGAAATATGACATTCTTTTTAGGACATGCTAAGAAAAGTATGATACATGGGTTGGGAACTTGGGATAAAGGGAGTAATGAATAGTTTTCACGTTTTCATTTATTCCCCCTATTGAAGAATAAAGTTTATGTATACACAACTAACTAGTATAGAACACATTGCCCGAAAAAGAAAAAAAAACACATCCCCGCAATTACATGAAGGAAAATAGTGAATATTTTCTCAAGTATCAAATAATTCATATAATGATTTTTCTTTTTCCTCTTTTTTTTTTTTTTGTGCCTTCATTATCCATTCGCCATGTGATTGTTGGCTCAACTTCACAAACCCACTTTCAATATTACAGGACTCTAACCGAGCCATCTTGCTTCAACGTCACGAGACTGTTCTCGATGTTCCTTAGAACAGGTGTATAGCTGGAAAATATTTAAATGGTAGTTAATAACAAGGTTATCAGAAGCATACAAAACAACAATTGGAAGAACAAAACAAGCTTTAAGACTAAATGAGATTAGATGCATACATGCGAGTGAGACTATTGTATGCTTGCGTGGCCTGCTGGAGCCGTGCATTGAGCTGCAAGATTTCAGCAGATAGTGCTTCTGCTTTGCTCTGCTCTTTAGCTAGCTGACCCTAAACGAATAACCAATTGGAAGGACATCAATGATATCGTCTTATACTGCACAATATCACAATGAGAAGGAATCCAATCGAACTTTCAATACGTATCTTGAGGAAAAAATCTGTGTCATAACCAACTGTTCAAAAGTTGCTGTATACATGCACGAATGAAAAGAGTAGCTCCTTTAATACAGTTTTAATGCATCCTATTGTTTGCTATTTGACCTAATGAATGTACACGGCACAGGTGACAATTGCCTATAGCATTTCACGATATAAGTGAACCAGATTCAAATTCAGATAGCACATGGTAACAATATTCTATAAACAATGAATAAGATTTCGATGAATTACCTTGATGGAGAGGATTTCAGCATATTGTGTGCCTTGAAATTCATTTTTGCTGCCTTTGATGGATCCTGAAACGCCTTCCTGGATTAGGTTGTTTGCAGTTGCTATTGCAGCTTGGTCTGTCCTCAACTTATCTAATATGGCACGAAGCTCCTCATTTTGCTTGAGACAATCTTTGACCTGCATGGGAGTACACCAAAAGAGAAACCCATTCGGAAAATTGGAGCAACGTTACTGAGGGTGTAATAAAGTACTACAAAATTTGAAGAAAACAATCTCATTCGCCAAAGAAAGAATTACATTCAACCAACTGATTTCATCTAAAGGCAGAAGTTAGATAAATGAGAGTGTCCTTCTGTATAAGAATTTTGCTGAAGCACAGCTAATGCTTAAGGAGTAAAGAAGAAAATCATGTGTAGCCAAACGAGTATTTGACCAAATATCATCCCTAGTTCTACCCTAGCTTCCACTACACTTATCGTATTCCACTTAACAAACAACATCCTTAAAGTTTGCAAATTTAGCCAAAAACATCCCCACCATTACTTTTTCCATCTTTTCTAACAGAACTCTCTCTTTTGTTACGTGCATTGCTTCGTCTTTTCTTCTTCTAAATAATTTCCAATAAACAGTTCAAAGAACAGAAAAGCAACTGACTAATCGGCCGGACACTAAATCAGCAATTCTAAACACCTTCTCCAAAGATTTACCCTTTCTTCTCTTTACATTCAAAACCTCTCAGATCCAACCCTATTGCTCATATGTAAAGAAAGCTCAGGAGAGAGAGAGAGAGAGAGAGAATGGGAAAGGGTAAACTATCCAGAGATGAGACTGTAGAAATACACAGCAGAAAATCATGAAATAAACCTTACAGATATATGGCATGCACTTTATCAAGAAAAATGAAACCATTATTCAATTTATAAGCTAAAGCCCAGGTTATGTTCTTCTTCTTTTCCTTTTTCCTTCGTATACCCAGGAAACTTGACTTACTTTGTATGGTCAGTTTGGTCTTAATTTAGCTACTAACAAATGATGCAAGAAGTTGTATGGGATGAAGGTTTAGATCGGGCCGTTTGGAACTAAAAGACTCATTCCTGATCCCTCGATGGAGAAAGAGCTTAGAGCTAGAAATTATTGAAGGTGTTACGGTTTTGCTAATTTAAAAAAAATAATAATAATAAATAAAATAAATATATTAGCAAAACTGTAACACCTTAAATAATTTTGGTTTTGCTAATTTATTTCATGCAGCAATTGATTTTGTTCTTTAAAGAGCTTGTGGGAAATTTTAAAAGGAAAACAAGAAAAGCTACATGAAGTCCATGTGATAAATGGATGTTCCGTTAGAATAAGATGAAAAAGCTAACAGAGGATGTTTTTGGTTAAGTTTAACGGTTTGTTGCCTGTTAAGTGAGATAATAGGAGGATGTAAAGAAAGTTAGGGTGAAACAATAGGGAAGATTTATTCTGACTTAAAGAAAGGTTAGACATCTTTTTTCTTGTCAATGGTACTATTAGCGCTTCAAAAATTGATATCAATCAACAGATGTTTCTTCACACATAGACCAAGACTATTTGGTTTGAGGAGGGTTAACAAGTTGCAGGACTGATTTTCCTAGTTCATCCCAGGTAATTTCTTATGCAATTATCCATACTTTTTTATTTCCAACCTCATGAGAGAAACGACACTCATAGTTCCCTTCCACCAATCTATCAACTATTTATCACAATCGAAGATTATGTTAAAAGTAAGGTATAAGAGATAACAGCAGTTATTTACAGTAGAACCATGCAATGTGATCTAGCGAAAGTAAAGCATGATTTACCACTATTGAAAAAGGACTGGGAAGTAATTACATAGAAGAATATCTTAAAGATCCTGCAAAGTAATGTGCATAGGCACCATACCATCTGTTCATCCTCATTTAACTTCAAGATCTTGAAAATACCTGATTCTCCCACTGCACGGCCACCCCTAGAGCTTCTTGATGAGCGGACGACAGATTGTAATTTTCCTCAAATAGCCTCTCTATCTCCGAGGATTGTGAATCAATCTGAAAACAACAGAATAGAATGGTTTCCAATTTCACATAGCAAAATGAGAAGAAAAAGAAAGACAGATAAGAGGTTTTACCTCCATTAGAAGTTTCTGCCGGCTACTTTCCAATCTTTCAATGGCCACAGCCATATCATGTAATTGCTTTTCAAGCCTCACCTTGTCTTCCTGGAAGGGTGGAATAAGACCTTAAACTAACATCATTCCACCAAAACTTTATAATACATAATCTCTTTTTGAACTGCATTATAATACATAACCTTTGGACCATAGAGTTACCAAAGAACAACGGAACTTTTCTGAAGGGGCCAAAAGGATAAAGGGAATTAGCTAGAAAGTTAGCATGGTAAATAGACCAAAAGAAACAAAAATGAAATTGAGGAACAGTTTTACACAGCAAAAACTGACTCATCAGGGCAATTACACACAATGGGACTTAGCGGCGTGATTTAAGAAACAACAATTTTAATCTCACCGGCCAATCATTTTCCTTTTCTACAGAAAAACATAATAGCCAACTCAAATTCAAAACATTGAAAAATATTATCAACTGCAGACACATTGATTACCCCCGAGAATGTCTTCTGGGATGCCTTTCCGGTGACTTCATCTGTAATACACATAACAGAAATATAGAAAAGATCAACAGATATCACGAGAAAGCCAACTGGTTGTTAAATGATAGATAACAAATACAAAACCAAAGGCTCATATACGCAAATGATTTCTAATTAACTATCTTCGGTGATTCTTGTTTCTTATTCACTTCCTAAATTTTTTAGTGACTCTACTAATTTCTCATTGTTTGCATCCCCCTCACTTGCTTCAATATGACCTCCATTACTTTCTATTAATATTGATTGACATGAAATTATTGTATAGTAACCTTCATCAATCCATATTGGCTCTTCTGACATTGTTGAGTGCGCACACCCAATTTTTGAGCTTATAACTACTATTTTGCCTTTTCCTCCGAAGTCTTTCGTTTCCTTAATCTTGGGATAAATCTCTTGAACTTATAAAATAGCCATTCATTTTCTCTTCTTTTATTTTTTTTGATAATGATCCAATAGCCATAGCCTTTATTTCCTGGCCAGAAAAGAAATAGTTATACCAACAATTCAATATTTTCAGCTATTTCCAACATTCTATTGCTTTCCCTTCTCAATAACCTTTTAGATCTTGTTTCCAATGCTGACTACCCTCCATCCTCCGTCCTAGACAATCTCAAGACTGATCAAGGAAGCCTTGTTCTTCCCTGCACTACTTCAAACAGAACATATCTCCCACATCTATTGAAGTTTCAGAAGACCTTGTACAGGTACAATGATTTTTTCTTTTTGCCATTTTCAACTTACTTTTCCAATTCCCCCAAATGCTAGTTTTAAGATGAGCAAAGCCAGTTTGCGTATCTTCTTATCAAATAGAATTTTTCCAACAAAACTTTTCTTCCTTTCAACAAGCTCGTACACAGTGCCATATTTCCTATGAATTTGTTTGACTTTGAATTTGTTTGACTTCAAATCATTTTTACCCGATGAGTAAGAAAGATTACCTTTTCCATATGCAAATGAAAGGATAGCACTGATTATTTTCTCATCATCACAATGAGGCCTTTTAATCTTCACAAAGAACTAGCATTTTAATATGTTGACTTTTTAACTTTTATAGAGTAATGTGTATGTGTATAATTTGACTGTGGATAACGTAGTTTCACTCCGAAAAATTCCTATTGATATAAAAAAAAGGTCAGAAATAAGCAAGCAGTCAAGTCATAAATAAAGATCCGAAATTTCCTAAAACCTTTATTTGGGATGTATCATGGTTCAGCAAATATGACAAGAAACAATAGTGCTTGTATTTACTTTTATACTAATTCTAAAAGCTAAGCACTTTAAATCTAACAAAATTGAATGATAAATACCTGAGACCTTATTGGACATAACAGCAAGCTTCTCTTCCAAATCCTGCTTTTGAGAAGTTAGTGTAGATATGCGCGCTTGCTCCTCCACTAACTGCTGTCTTTCTTGTTGCCTCAACAGGGTCATTTGCTGTAATTTTAAAATGGTATAGCAAATAAAATAAAGCATTAAGAGAGAATCCAGACAACATAAACAAACAATGTACCTCTAATTGAGATTTGAGATTTGCCAGCTCCTTCTCCATAACATGCATATGATCTAGCGGAAAATTCATTGAATTTACACCACTAACAGGACCGGACATTGCTTGCTGCTGTAATGAGTTAAGTTCTGCTCTTAGCGCTGCTGCATCCTCTTCAGCCTAATCCCAAAAGGATTCACAATGTATTAAGGTATACTATTCCACACAACTCATTTTAATGCAAGAAAATATATGCATACCCGATATTGTTCCTCTTCTACTTCCTTCACACGTTTCTTAATTGCACGAAGCTGAGCTGAAAGATCCTCCTATATTTGAAACAGGGTTCATATGAAAAACGAAGATAGAGCAAATATAAGGTTGAAAGAAGCTATGGAATGGTAGTAGAAATGATATGTACTCGTGCAACAACTGCTGCATCCTTTTCCATGGCAACATCCTTGAGTGCTTTTCTTAATGAAGCTACAGTGTTTTGCTCCTGCACTTCGAAAGAAAAGTAAGTGAAGCCACCCATCTACTGAAAAGAGAGCTCAAAAATCTTACCTAAATTCCCTTTTCTTCCTCCTTTGAGCGAATGATAAGACAAATTTCAGAGCGGTTTATCATCCAAGGAAAAGGATCCAAATGTGCAGACATACTCCTCAGTCCCTTTTTATGTGAAGATCTTTGACTAGGCACGAAGTTTAAGAAAGAGAGAAGAAAGACTTTGAAGTTTAAACAAGTCATGCATTTGTGTGGCTTTAAAGGGTAAAATTAATAAATTTTAAGTTAAATTGTTCCTAAATATAAAAAAGTGACATTCCTTTTCTTGACAAACTAAAAAGGAAAAGAGTGTCAAAAGAAACGGAAACAGCCTCTCTGCCCCATCGGGGTAGGGGTAAGGTCTGCGTACACACTACCCTCCCCAGACCTCACTTTGTGGGATTTTACTGGGTCGTTGTTGTTGTTGTTGTTGTAGTGTCACAAAAGATGGAGTATTTCAATAGTGAAAGAGCAACTAAGTACTATTGTTGTACTAATATCTTAAATTTAAAGTAAATATGTGGCATCATGACATCATCCATGTATGAGCAGAATAGTGCTAGGTTATGAGATAAAGACTGTATCATAAGGTAATGATATTTGTTTCATACTCCAATGTCTATTACTAACAGCAAAAATGTCCACTGCTTACATCATACTTCATCAAAGTCCTTATATTCACTCCCAATACTTGTTGATTATTAAAAGTTACAATCATTAAAGGGACATTATCAGATGTTACTGTGGTGTAACAGAGATGTGGTAACAAGTAGTGAAAGAGCAACTAAGTACTATTGTTGTACTAATATCTTAAATTTAAAGTAAATATGTGGCATCATGACATCATCCATGTATGAGCAGAATAGTGCTAGGTTATGAGATAAAGACTGTATCATAAGGTAATGATATTTGTTTCATACTCCAATGTCTATTACTAACAGCAAAAATGTCCACTGCTTACATCATACTTCATCAAAGTCCTTATATTCACTCCCAATACTTGTTGATTATTAAAAGTTACAATCATTAAAGGGACATTATCAGATGTTACTGTGGTGTAACAGAGATGTGGTAACAAGTAGTGAAAGAGCAACTAAGTACTATTGTTGTACTAATATCTTAAATTTAAAGTAAATATGTGGCATCATGACATCATCCATGTATGAGCAGAATAGTGCTAGGTTATGAGATAAAGACTGTATCATAAGGTAATGATATTTGTTTCATACTCCAATGTCTATTACTAACAGCAAAAATGTCCACTGCTTACATCATACTTCATCAAAGTCCTTATATTCACTCCCAATACTTGTTGATTATTAAAAGTTACAATCATTAAAGGGACATTATCAGATGTTACTGTGGTGTAACAGAGATGTGGTAACAAGTGGTGTTTGAACTTTAGAAGAGGTTATTTTGATTGGGAAGTTGAAGGATGGCTACCTTGCTGCAAGAATTAGGTCTGGTATCACTAGATGCTGAAAATGAGGATTCTTTGCCATGGATTGAACAAAGAAATGGTGTTTTCTCTGTACAATCATGCAATAAAAATTTTGTAGCAGCAGAAAATTTTCCTTCATGGCCTTGGAGGATCAATTGGGGAGCCAAAACTCCTTACAAAGTGATATGTTTCAGCTGGATATTGGCTGATGATGGATATTTTGAGGTTTTTGGTCACCTTTGGCATCTCATTTTCAATATCTTTGGGAAAAAATGGGTCATTCTAGCAACCAGTAAGAATCTCCTCTGCAGCTGGATGTATTTCAAAGGAAATAAGAAGCTGAAAACCATACAGAGGGATTAAGAATGAAGCTATCCGGGACCGAGTGGGAGTAGCCTCCGTGGAGGACAAGATGCGGGAGTCGCGGCTGAGATGGTTTGGACATGTTAGGAGAAGAAGCATTGATGCCCCTGTCAGGAGGTGTGAGAGGTTGGCCATGGAGAGTTTGAGAAGGGGTCGAGGTACACCTAAGAAGTACCGGGGAGAAGTGATTAGGCAGGACATGACACTGCTTCAGCTCACTGAGGACATGACACTTGATAGGAGGGTGTGGAGGTCGAGGATTAAGGTAGAAGGTTAGTAGGTAGTTTATAGTGTTCACCGATAGGCTTAGTAGCATGCATGTCCCTTCATATTCTTAGATTTTTATTACGTTATGTGGTTTTGTTCGCCTCAGGTATTGTATTCCCTGTTGTTATTATTTGATACTATTTATATTTTATCTGTCCCTTTTTTTTCTCTTCCATCTTTCTTCCTTCCTTGCTTCCCTCTTCTTCTTCTTGCCCTTCCTGAGCCGAGGGTCTATTGGAAACAGCCTCTCTACATGCATTAAATAGGGGTAAGGTCTGCGTACAGACTACCCTCCCCAGACCCCACATATTGGGATCAAACTGGGTTTGTTGTTGTCGTTGTTGTTGTTGTATGTTTTGGACTATATGGAGGGCAAGAAACTTGAGGTGTTTTGCGGGCAAAGAAATTACTATACGGGTGCTGGAATTTAAATATCTATGTAACTTAGCTACATGGTGTAATCTAGAGAATATGTATGATGAGGGGAGACTGTTAGATTTTATAGATTCATAGCAGAGTTGACCTTCATTCTATTCTAGCAGATGTAACATCCCGTACTCTCTTAGTGCTGGAACTTTCTATGAGTTAAAAAAAGGGACATTTTCGATTTCAAGGATCAGTAGAATTCCATAAACTCTTTAACAACATTCAGAAAAATGATGACTTTCCAATAACTGATCATATGATTAACTTTTTTCCAGAAGAACCCATTCTATCTATCTATGTGGACTATTTACATGACTGGTCTCCATCGTAGAATTATCACTAAAAACAGCATCTTTTTCCTATGACAAAAATGATTAAATACAGCATTATTTACCAGATCATTAAGACGCTTTTGCAACATGTTGTTCTCGGCTTCTTTTGTCTGAAGCTGAACAAGCAAAATTTTAGAAGAAATCAAGAACCATGAGAGATATTCATTAGTACATTGACAAATTATTCTATAAGATAAAAAAAATACCCTTGAGGCCAGTGCTCTATTTGCTTCATCCAGCTCTGCATTATTTTTTTGCACTTGTTTCAATTGAGAAACTAAACCACTCATATCATTCTGCAGTTTGCCAATTACGCATTCACAATAAAGGAAAAAAAACGAAAAATTAAGAGAAGAGAAGTGCAAATTGAGACCTCTGATAGTCGAGTTGTACTCTCGGATCTTTTAATCCCCACAACCTCTGCCCGAAAATTAAAAAAAAAAATATTATTAGGATGAGAAGAAGAAAAGAGAAAAGGGTTCAGAAGATTAAAGCATACCATTAGGGATATTGGTAAGATCGGGTCCAGAAGAGATTTTGCTTAATCTCTCTGCTGCTCTCTTTTGACGAATTTCTTCCAACTGAAAAATGTTATATGTAATATCATAAGCAGCGCAGAAGAAACGACGACGACAACTAGCGGAGGAATAAAATTCATACCGTTCGACGGGCAAGGGAGGCGTGGCGATAGTCCATACCGGAAACCCAATCAAATCGGACTGACGCCTATCTCAGACCCCCGTTTTGCTCAAATCAAATCTTTGTTGCTGTAGCCTGTATGCGTACAAATTTGGAGTGCACAACTGCAATTATTATTTATAAAACAAATAAGTATAAAACATAGTTTTGAACCAATGTGAATATTTTTATTGTGTAAAAACTTTAGATAAATACATTTACTTTAACTAGTATCTATTTAATAATGGGACATGATGATTTAAATATTTATTTATATGAATAAATAATAAAATTTAATTATTGAGAGAAATTTTATATATAATAATACAACAATTATTTAAATGCCAAAAAATATTATTAAATTAGCATAATACATAAATTTAAAATAAAAAAACATCATCAAAACTTAAACAAATGATCAATTTTATCATGTTAGTTAGATAATTATGTATTATAGTTTAAAGGTATTTAATGTGATGATATCTTAATGTACAATTCTTTGTGGACAATATTTTTTTGTGTATGTTTCCTCCTAATGTTTTGGTTGCTCTGCCTTAACCAAAACTCTTGTTGTCAATCTTGATATCCCTCTTGAAAGTGCAACATACAGTTGTTCGTGCGAAAATATATTGCAGTAAATATAGTCCAATATTTAGGGTGTTTGTCCTTATGATTTATGTATTATATTTGCAAAACATAAACATAGTAATAATTATTTCAGACAAATTTAAAAGGATATTCCATAGTTTCGAAAGACGAAAGCTGAATTCGGGGATAAGAATATACTTAGAAGCACATTGACCAGTATCATAATTTTTGCATGTCTGACGTTATTGTCAAAACTTCTATATACCATTTGTGTGTTATTACATAAGTTATTCGGCATATCTAAGTTTTTCAGTAGCATGACAGACATATTTTTCTTCAAAATCAACCTATATACAATGGAAGATCAATTTTAACTTAGTCTATTATATATAGGGTGACACTAACATATGTAGGAAATAATAAACTTGACAACAAACACGTACGGTAGAAGGCCATTTAGTATTCAAGTATTTAAGTATTCTCTTGGTAGTAATTATTGGTATCATTTTCTGCTGAATCAAAAACAAAAAATTATTTTATTTTTAATATAAAATTTTGCAATTAACCTTTTATTTAGTTGATCAACATAGTCATTTCTGCTAGCTAAGATATATTTTTAAATTCTATCATGCGATTTGCACAAATTGCATTTTAATCTAATGATATAAATATTTCTCTAATTAAATGCACTATTGTTACTATTGGGATTGATAATCAAGTGTTCAGGAAGAACCAAATCATCTTTTATTAGATACTCTTCTTTGTTTCTGACACGAAGCAAGAAGACACTGAATACTGGATCTGTTCTTACTTTTATATTTATTGTCAGTTGAATCTTTTTCATTTGAGACCAGAAGTATAACTTTGGCAAGCTAGTTTTTATAGTCTCCGTTTTGTCGATTTTGGAATTACTGGTAGTACTTGACATAAATTACTTCTCAAGCTATTAATTTCCACCAAACGGTTCATTAATATCAAATATATCTCTAGAACTTCGGGCAATTATTTCGATCGTTTAATACTAAAGACATAAGTGCTTCATCCCATATTATTAATTTTGCCTTCCTCATACATTTAGTACCATTACCCTGCTTTGATATATTTGTGATGGTTATTTAAGTTGTTTGAAGAGCTATATCAAGTCTAAAGTGGGTGGCCTCATAATGAAATCATTATTGGTACACCACTTGTTATTATTGCTAACAATGTCATACCTCTTTGATATAATATTTGCAAATAATGCATGGCATAGAAATATTATTTTGATTCCATCCGAGGCATCTACAAAGAATATTCTCGTTATAGCATAGTCGACTCTTTATCATATAGTCTTGAAAGCTTGTTCTTGTTTAGGATTTAGCTTCGATTGAGCTTCCTCAAACACTTGTATATCATTTTGATTTTTAATAATATATTAATCTTTTTACTTTGTGTTCTAACGCTATTTTCTATGGAATAAATTTATATACTTTAAGATTTTTTTTTAACTCGAATAAGAATTTTACTGATATGATAAATTTTAAAAAAAATTGAATTGGATTTTCTTGCTAAATAATTAATTAAAAGAAATAATTATTTGATTTTAACATAAAAAAAATTATTCTATGTTGATTCAAATCTTAATATTAGGTCATCTCTTATTTTGAATAATTAATCTTAATTATAATTTATCCATCATAAATTTTATTTTCAAAGAGTAAAAGATTTGATATGACTTTTCACTTTTAGATATTTATGTATATAGAATCATTATTGGTATTGTCTCCTACCAATTATTTTTTTCTCTCACTCTCTCTCACATTTATATTCTTAAATATTTTCTTAGTTGTTGTTTAATAATTGAGTATTTTTTAATATTACATGAAAAATTAATAAAAAATATTATTTGGCTAGAAAAATAGTTTAAATATAATATAAAAATATATTATCATGGTTATTTTTTCTCAATTTCAACTCTTTATGCAGTTCATTTAATATTACTTTTATATTTTCTTGGTATTGGACATTATGGAGTGGTAATGTATTGCCAATACATAGGATTCTTATAAAACTAATTTTGTTAAACCTCCCTACATCTTTTTAATAAGAATTTAATAGATAAAATTTTATGAATTTTAAAGTCTTAAATATTAAAATTAGTATAGAAGGTATTGTAGTCCAAAAAATAGATAATTACAGTTATGTCCTTTCCCTGTGAGGTCTTCCGTTTAATATTTTAGGGCTATTTTAGTATATTAATATTGTATTTATATTTTTATAATAATATATGCTCTCTTTTTTGCTAAATGGATTTGGACAATATAATATATTCTCAAATTAAATTAGTAATAGGACATTAGAATACGTTTTCAAATTAAATTAGTAATAGAAATTTTTAAGAAGTATATCGTGAAAGTAATAGGATTACATGACTAAATAATTACTATTTTTCCTAGCAGTGATTACTTTTTCTACGCTAATGGTGATACTTATTGTAGAAATATTTGCCATAGTAAATTATAAAGATAGAAAGGTATAATTTAATAACCAAGCTTTTAAATAAATTACTTATCGATTTAAAATTAAGAATGGCAAATAGTTTGGTATGAAAGAAAATATAGAGGCAAACCTGATATGATTAAAATATTAGGACAAAGAACACAAAAGTTATCGTGTAGTTTTATTGTTGGAAAAAGTAGGATATAGTTATTCTTACGTTTATGCTTTTACATGATTTTGTGTTTTAGTTCATATTTTTAGATTGTCGATGATTTTCTCTTTTCGTTTTAAATAATTTATATGAAGTAAAATTTTAATTAACTTTTATTAGACAGCCTAAGAAAGTAATTATACTAATAGGATTCTGAAAGGTAATCATGTAGGATTCCTAACGTGTAGTATTATTTCCTAAAAATAATAGGATTATTAATCTAGAATTCCAGTTATGTCTTTTTATTATAAATTATTATACTTAATATTATAAGGTTATTTTTGTAAACCGATATTGTATTCATGTTTTTATAATAATATAGATAAATTCACCTTTTATCTTGGAATATGTAAATGTTACACCTTGTGTATTCGGCGTTATCATGCTGTAAATGGGCTAATTCGATAGGAAGATA